AACAAACCAGCAATTCCCGAACCTAGAGCGCTAGGCAGGCGAGAGAGAGGGTGACAAAACGGTGATGCAGAAGGCCACACTGCGTTGGCCGAACAAAGATGCTGCTGTCGCAAACAGTTGGCGAGAAGCGCAATGGCACAGCAGAGCCCAAGCAGCCCGTGCCTGCAGCAGCAGCGGAAGGCGAACCAGAAAGCGAGAGAACCGACGCCGCCTTCACCAGTGACAAGTGGACCTGGGCGTGAGATCAATCAAACAATCAATCGCAAGGAAAGCTCTCCACTGCCCGAGCTCGAGGGTCGGCTTTCGAAGCAGCGAAAGCCTCGATACCAAACAGAACAATGCACCAACGACGCCACACGAACGAAAACTGAGTGCTATCCCGAAACTTCAGTTTTCAGACTCCGACTCAATCTTCAAAATCCCTACTTCCGAACATCAAATCTGAGAATCTTTCTGCACATATTTCTCGATTTAAAACCCTGATTTCCTCAGACTTTCAAATACAGAAATTGCCCAAAGGTATAAACAAACCACAAAAGAGAGAAACACCCGACGAAAACACAAAGAGGCAGAACGGAACGTAAAACGGTTACACACAAAAACGTCGAGAGTTCTTCGAGTGAAAAGAACGGGAAAGTCCCCACTGGAATTCCCGTCGGTCAATTACCCTACTGGCAACAAACCGTCACCGTCACAAACATGAGTCAAGCCCAACCCACTCCACACTCGGAGAATCCAGGTCGACGCAAAGGGGAAAGTCACTCTACGCTCCCAACGCTTCCAGGCTCGACTCAAAAAACTAACGTTCTTCGAGCCGTCCCCGACTGTATACCCCTCGTGACCCGAACCCTAACTTCACGGCTAAATATAGTAAGTGTCTAAACTTCGTGAGCCGACTCGTAACTACATGACACTTTCTAAGAGGAGGGACAAAATTGAAAATTGTTTTATCATTGTGGGTAAGTTGTTTAATGGAATTCGACTTCGAGTGAATTGTCGAACAAATAGATGCACAGACCAAACCACATTTATACCTTTTATAGTACTTATTCAAGAGAAGGACGAAGTGGGAAGCAAATAAGATGGAAAAATCCATCCAGCAACGCAACTAAAAAAAGTGAAGAAACTACAATATCATGATACAAATTAGATCATACATTGAGTACATTACTAAAATACTGTTCACAGGGAATAGAAGCATTTGATATCGTATCACATACCTAATTTGCTTTATATTCTTTATAGACAATGAAAACATGTGATCTCAAATAAGGTATACAAAAAGTTCAATGAATAATAAACATGTTCTCCTGTGTAAATTTGTTTGAAAGGTATCATATCAGGCTCTGGAACATTCACTCTCAATCTTTATCCGTAATTCCATTTAATTTCAATGTTAAAAGAATTTAAGATATTGAAACCTCTATGTACTTAATTAATTAAAAATCTTTTAAACTGTCTTCTTTTTACTTGCCTTCATTTCAAGATTATGACAAATCTTCCGCCTACAAACTCCTCAATGAGTATAGACTCATGAAAACCATTGTTGCATCAAGAATATTGAAGTTTAGCTCTGATGTATGAATCAAGCATAGGCTGAACAACCATTAAAAGCAATAAAAATCATTTTCTCTTATCCAATCATGTTCAGTATGTTATGTTAATTTTTATTGACTAGTATAAAATTTCTAGAAGAAACTAACTGTGGTTCTCACATTCTGACTATGGAAGTGTATTATATATAAGTGCAAAAGAAAATATCATCTCTGAAGATGTTTTGCCTTACAAGAACATACTGTATGTAACCTTGCATTTACTCTTGACCATGAAAGTCACATTTAATTATGCTAGGCATACAGTTTTACTAAAACGTGTTATAAAAAAGATTATTTCTTCCTTCTTCTTTTAGCTTACAAGCAAAATGCTGTAGTCTTTAGTCGAGGGTCAAATTCGAAATAAAAACATCATATGTCTTTATAGTAAAAGCATGTTACAGTTGTGTCAAATATGTTTATAAATACAGTTTTACTATCTTAGCCGCTTTACACATCATTCTCGAAGCTCTTCAATACCACCATTTTGTAGATTCAGATGATATAACCCAAAAATAATTACTCAACCTTCTAGTTCCATAGACAAAGCTTTTTATAATAAGTCTCCATCTCCTCTAAAAACCCTAAAATTTGTCACAAACTGACTTTGAGCTAGTTCTACTTTAAATTCAGTTTGATTTCTCCAAATCTAAACTTATTTAATGAAGTCTCAATCTCTCTTCTCTATAAGTATATTATCTAAACAATGAAATTATCTATGCTTTTGACGCGATTAGATTGTATTGAAGTTTTGGAAGTGATATGCAGTTATGAAAATTCCATGCTTCTGCTTCCTTTTTCAAGTTTTGTTGGCCTTACAATATTTATTGTTTCCCCAACATATCCATTTATAATGGCTTTAAAATATGGTTTTACTGTTTGATTCTTATGAAAGATGTTACACCTGGAGCTTTTTGAAAAACTCTACAAGTAATAATCTCGCTCCGTGCTTGTGATTTTAGAACAACCTGAACGAAGTTTTGTATTTGAAGCTGATATAAATATTCACTTTTCACCTTAGTCTTAAAGACATAGATTAGACTCAAAGACTTAGATTACGCATTCACAACTAAACTTTTATTTAACACATTAAGCAATCATGTTGTTGCAACTTTACCTCACCTCGACGGTCTAGACACTTTAAAATGACTCTCAGTTGATTGGTTCTCATGACAGAAGATACATGAAAATAAAATTATAATAAAAAAAAATAACAAATGAAAAGATTTCAAAGTTTTTAGATGTAAAATATAATTCAAAATTTTGAATGACAACAAAAACACATTATAATGTGTCATTGAAATCTGGTAAAGACCTCTCACCTAAAACAAAAAAGTTTCTAATGTCACATTGTTTTAATGATGTTAAATTTCCAACACCAATTCTAATTCACGCGTAGGCAGTAGTCAGCAGGCAGAAAATAGAGCAACCCTCTCTTAAATAACCCTTGCCCATGTAGACATAGAGTCCAAATCTACAACTTGATCCATTTGTGAAACAATGGCGGAAGCAAGTATTGGATGCCTTTCAAACAAAAGTAAATAAGGAGTGAATTGCAAGAAATATGCATGCTTGGACATTCGATACTCCATGGCAAAGTGGAGTAGGACTTGAGACAAGAGGTCTACTGTAATACGAGCATTGCGTGTCAAGTCAGTTATCCTGGCCCTACCTTCTGCTCTCTCAGGGCGTCCTAGCCGTGGCAGCCCAGTATCCCAATCCAATGAATATGATTGGATGTACAAGCACAAAGATGGTTAGATTGCAATTCCGAACAAGAGCCTCTATGAATCGCGTTCACGAACCATGAAGTTTGCACTGTCCACATCACACATAATTCTAGAAAACTAACCACTACAAGGTCATGGAACTGCCCTAAATATTTGACAATTGTTCTCGTATTATATGCATTTGATACAAAGCCCAAAAACTAGATTACAAGATCGGTACAATATCATCACACTAATTGCTCTCGAACTAGTGCTACTAGCATCAGTTGGACGAACTTAAAACATTTCTTGAAAACTAGTAAAACTTGGCGGACATCACTAGCATCTGTTGACATGCTCTAGAAGCATGACACTAGTACATGACATTGATCAATTATTACAACAACATAACCAATGTCATGTTGTTGAGGTAGAGGTTTGTTCACATCAGTGGATGTGAACAAACCTTCTCTTCATTCGATGATGGCATCGAATGGAGGAAATCACAGGAGCAGGTCGTGTATATGATGATAGCATATCTAGATCCTTTGATTATCAAGCAAATTGAGGAGTATATTGAGATCATGCAACTTTTTGACGTCCTTCAACAACGGTTCTATTAGAAGTAACTGTCAAACGTGATGTACAAGTACATGAACCTGTTGAAGTTTACAGTGAGACTCCGATCTAGGATCCAAGATCACATTCACGCCTTCGGTGATCTAATGATAGATCTCGAGAGTATGGCAAATAAGATTTTTGAAGTGAAGAAGATTTTACATCTTATCAACTCGTTTTCATCTTCCTACCCTACACTATCAAAGATTCTACTCCATCGTGATACAAAAGTTATCTATTTACTATTGTTAATGCTTTCTTGGTGGACAAGGTGAAACATGAGATCTTGTCATAATCTAGTCTATCCACTTTCGAGACCGCAATGATTGTGATCTAAGATCAACCACATTTGAGGTATAACAACTATTCACGAAGTGCTAGATGAAAGAATACTAGATCTAGAAATACAACTCTTACTAGGAAAACAATCTAGTCTAGGGGTGAATTTCCTAATAGGAAGATGTTGATCTATACTAGATGTGGCAAGAGATGCCACATCAAGAAGTATCGGAGGGAGAAAGTCAAAGGTGCAGTTTTCCCTCCAATGGCGAACCTTACATAGCACTTCAAACTCGAGTACGATGATGACGGTCTATGATGACAGATACGACCTCTGTGGTTCACCAAAGTTTGTTGATGAAATATGGATTTATCACATTTTAAATATTTTTTTGAGTCAAATGGTGAAAAATCCACTGCAAGAAGAGTAAAATACACATTGTCGCAGAACTGAGAAAGGCAAAACTGATTGGCAAATTTAAGTTTTTAACTAGCTGATAAACCCAACCAAAGCTACCTAGATGAACATACATCTAACCCGGTTTGTATGCATCCATCTAACCACATCACCTTGAAACGTGCAGATAGTCTTATTTTGAGACCACTGACTCATGAACTTTTTGCCTGCACTAAGAGCCACAGCAGGTTGCTATTTGTTTAGCAATTGAATGCGTAACCATGCCATTTTGGCCAAATCCACCATTGCATCTCACAGCCCACGCTCCAGTTGAGCAATGTACCATTTGGTGTTGTTGAATATGCACGTGATACATCTCAATCAGATAATCCACATGACTAAGCCGCGCATGAGCGGCAAGGTACCAATACCTTGCCGAAGAGTAGCAGTCCGCTCTGCCCCAAGAAGGCATTGTTGCCATGTCAAGGGAGTCCACAACATCATGTCCACGGATATATCAAGAAGACAATAGAAAATTGTGGTAGCAAAAGCTCAAGCTTATCGGAGGCTACACAGTCAAACAACGGTAGTTACTGGGACCGTTTTTAGAGATTGTTGAATAAGCAACATGTCGCCACTGGTGTACGAATCGCACGATGTTAGAAGCTCCACAAGAATGCCGCTTCCTTGTGCGGGCGGCCAGGGATCCATACCTCGGCCCAATTGGGGACAAAGTTTGTAATCACTAGCACTCTCCACTTCACACTTATTGTAAATGGTAATAGATCAAGCCCGGGGTACCCAAAGTGTCAAAAGGTTGATAGGCAAGCTAAGTGTTTGTCGAGGATGACGCCAATGGCGGCCACGGCTGGCTAGCCGTGTAGGCCTAGGTGAGTCACTCTAGGCCTAGAGTGACTCACCGGTTCTCCCGGTCCAGCGGCGCGGATCAAAAGTAAGACGAGCAATGGGTGTCAAATAAGCTTGGAATTAGCCTATTTATCACGTTCTTTAAGTTGGAGAGTTCTTCTGTACTTTACCAAGATCACACTGCTTAATTCTTATGGGGGATTATCAATCAGAGTTTTAAAATCTTCTACAGCCAACTATAAAATTATCCCCGGCTCCAGATAGAAGTTCTAAATTACCGCCAAATATCTCGCTAACATCATTGTGTTAATCTTGTTTCTCTCACTCTCGAAATTCTTCTATTCCAACACGCAATGCTACGCAAAATAATCCCTCACCACTCCTGCCCTTCAATTCGAACCTTCTGCCACAGGCTTTTTCTACCTGCGGTTTTTCTTTCAACGTATTCATTCTTTTACTCTACATTTCTCCGTGAGTTGGTTTGGCCTTCTTCTTCATTTCTTCCCTTGTCGTCTTCCACATTCTGTAATCTTTGTCGGCGACTTAAACTGGGGGCTGCATGGCCTCCTCCTGATTCCACATCAACCAAAGCTTCGGTAAAAACTACAGATAGCAATGAGCTGGTGCGAAACAGTGCACAGAGACGAGCATGTATTTCCAGCCAGTCTGAATGGAAATTGGGTCGGAACACGGAAGAGAAAAACGTCGAAAGGAGCTGAAGGAGTGGAAAGAGGGAGGTGAGACAAATGTTGGTCTGTCGCAGACAGAGAGCAGAGTGAAATGTGGCAGTGGGGCATAAACGCCGCTAGTCTGACCTCGTCCTCGCTTGCCTGTTCAGCATTCTGTGCGAATGAGAATGCGAACCACACTTTTCCACCCATCCAGTCTGGGAACAGGGTGATATCAGTTAACATGTGACCGACGAGGGTCGTTCGCTTTTGGGTGCTGCACAGGATGGAGACGACGATCCGCATGATTCTTCTGTGGATGTGGATGGCAGCTTTTGTGAAGAATGTGCCCTCAGATTCTTGCATGTTCAAAGATGTTACTACCACTTTTCGGAGTAGGGTCCGGGGCCTCTATTCCTGCATGTTTGGAACACGTTATCTACTCGATTGCGTTCATCACTCTCTTTTGGCCAATCTCGTGATGATGGCTGCCCTCCCTCGTCTGCTGTGGTTTCCTATGTTGCTCAGACCTCGTTCTTGTCAGACACCACTTTTTGCCGATGCCAACGCCGTTCGTCGAGCCCAATTTCAAAGACACGTCTGCTCGACGACTTTCCAATCGGATGCCGACTCGCCGACACCCGAAACTTTTCAGTGATCATCAATTTTTGTTGTGGTGACGAACTACTTGCAGTGATCCAAGTGCGCTGCAGACCTTCATGATCACTTGACCACCTCCTCAGCAGGTTACTGGCTTCGTTCCTGACGATTTTCAGCGCCGTAGTGGAGGTGAAGCTTTAGCTCTTGTTACGCCAGGCCCTCTGGCCTCTGCTCTCTGCCTCTTCGTTTTCGCCACAGTTCCAATTGTCATTCTTTCGTAGGACTCTTCTGTGCATGTCTGTGTAGGTACCTCAATTGCAGTGAGAAGCCTGTTTCATTGCCCGTCGTAAGAATATAACCAAAAAAAAAGACTCTCATCCAAAGTCTTCAACATTTCACTCAAACCTCCCTACCAGTAAGAAATCTTCAAGAAATTCTCTATGTGGCCTCACTTGCTTCCCCTAAATCATCAGCTCCGTTTCGAGTCCGCTCTGGTTACGGACTCTTAACAGCCAGGTCAAGAAGTAAACGTCGCCTTTTAAAAGTTTTACAAGTGGGCAGTCTGATCCATCTCAAAGAGGGTGCTCCGATTTCTCATGTCATGCTTGTCGAGAGACCGTAGTATGACAGTTCACGAGATGAATGCGGTCCTCCCTGTGAGGAACACCGGAACATGGGGATTTTAAGGTGAAGGAAGGCATGACACACTTACCGCAGATCAAGTCAGGAAGGTAAGAAAACCCAAAACCCCATGTTTACAGTCCGAGGTTGTCCGAGGTTTTGAACCCATGTCCGAGGTTTTGAACAAATATTTCCATAGATTTCGTCCACATGATACTGTAAAAGAAAGCTCACAGCAGGTTTTGTGATATTCGAATTCTGGAGGATATCAGCCATCAAGGCCGTTGTGTGCACCTCTTTCAAAAGGAAAAGCAAGATTATGTTAAGGTTAGGTCAGGTTCGGCAGAGTTGCCATCTCTAGCGTAAACCTTAAAGGGATGCCCGACATCTTCCCACTGTAATTTCTAACATCAGAAGTACACTTCAAAACAACAATAATTTGGAGATATAGTTCTCAGTGTGAACAAAAGAAACAGAAGGATCGGTTTTCATGAAGTCAAAATCTACGAGTTTAGTGTGTCCTCCCTCGATACAAGCTATCACATGGATGAATAGATAGATAGATCGATCGATCAATTCATCTTTCAGAGCACATGTTTAGATGTGCCGAACTCAGAAACTCTTGCATTGTGGTCAAACGGTCGATCTACCTTTCCAAAACCCTTGTAAGGGGTCTCGCCGTAGAGTGCACACTGATGCACTTGACATGTGAGCTGTATCGGGCTACAGAAGAAGACTCCCGACGGAGTAATTCGGCTCGACAGCACTATCTCCATTGACCGTGAATTCACTCGCTACAGAAACTGATTATTCCACTGAAACACAACAGTTGCACAATGCCGATCCGCACAAGAAGCAGCCATCCCCGATCTGTCGTGGCAAGGTCAAATCGAAACAACCGCAGAAGCAGTGAACAAAACATCACAGTAAAGCTCCTCATGATGCAAAGGTCACGAGAGGCTGTCCACCTGTTCTGCCTACGGAACTGACTCTCTTACATCTCGAGGAACTCTTGCTTGAACCTCTTTCCTGAATCATTGCAACGTAAAATAGCAGAAAGCATAGGACTCATCTATTTACAACATGGATGAAACTTGACGGTCAACATGGTGTAGTCCCGACCTCAGCACATCCCCAAATATGTCTTATTGCATGTAGGATGTCTCAATATATTGTTAAAACCTTCCGCACGGAGAGTATCGACAGCACGTATGACAATCATGTACTCGTTTGATTGCTCTCATAAGAATTGAAAATCAAGAGCAATGTAGACATATCTATTCAAATAGTATGGAAGATAAATTTAGAAGAGTGATACTAATATTACTAATTTATGTCATCAAACTCCACCAATGATAAAGTAAGACAGATTTCAACTATATGCACTCAATCTAGACGATGAATACTTTAAATAGCTTCATCCTACCTCCCCAGAATATAATTTAATATTAATTTTTATAAAATGATGTGTACTTTTTTAAAGAGCCATTTTAATAATAATATTATAAATAATTATTTCTTAAATCAAGAAAATAAAAAAATCAATATCAAGTTTTAGACTTCAAAAAAAGTTATAAATCTCATGTTTATTCTATTGGTGTGTTCAATTTTTAAACTAAACTAGGATCAAAACAAAAGAAGCCCAAAAATACCAAATGATAAATGCCTATTTTCGATGTATTTATAAATGTTAAAAATTATGCTAAAGTTTATATGGTCTTAGTCGTTTTCCAACCGGAAATGAAAATAGTAATATATCACATTTGATTAAGTTTTCAAGAATATATATGCACATATATGTATGTATGTATATATATATATATATATATATATATATTTATTTATTTATTTATTTATTCGCATAAAGTTGATTCCTTTTTATTATTCAGCATCTCAAGGAGTGAACTAATTGTAGTATTTATAACTGTAAGTAGAAAATAAGTATTGAAAACATAAATAAGGAGGATGATAAAAGGAATCAACTCCGATTGAGAAACACATGTTCAAAAACATATTTTTGAATTGCTTTGGAAAAAATTTATAGTTCTTCTCATTTTTATTAAATAATATCATATTTTTATGAATTTTTGCAAAAAAAATAATTTAACACAAATTAAATGAACAAAACTTAAGATCAATCGGAAGGGGATCTAAATTTATTTTGAAACCATTTATCCCTAATAAGCCACAATCCGTAAATTCTTAAATTCTTCAAAAAGTAAAAACATATAATGTAGTGTAAAGCCAAATGATAATGAATATTTTGGATGACCATTAATTCATTGCAAATTATAATCCATAGTATTCAAAATCTCAAAATTAAGGATTTTCTTTGATGTATTGAAACTTATATAAATATAAATTAATATTTACAATAAGTCAAATTTTATCAAAATATTCAAATTTGAAAAGATTTCATAGTGACATGAAATGATAAAACTTTCAAATGACGTAAAAGTGGTATAAAATTATTCACGTAAATGAAGACAGTCACACAAGTTAGTACTATTGTATAAGTTTGTCCGGATAGTCAAGTTTAAAACTGTGTTAATATATTTAATCATTCGTTTTTTTGCAAATTTTTTTCAATTTAAATTATCATATACATCAGAAAGAAATTGAATGTTTAGATCTATTTCCGTGTTATTTTTATTTTTAAGTGTATTTTTATCGCATTACAAAAATATAGCTTGAAACTTAAATTATGAAAACACAGTTTTTTCTTTTTGTTGTAAATGAATTTTTTGTGCACAATTTTATTCATTTGAAATAACCAAGAACATTGACATTATGTAAAAACAATAAAGAGTCAATGTGACAGATTGAATTATCTGAAAATGTTATGTGTGACAATCTTGTATGTAATTCAACTCATAAATAAAATTGACACTTCATTTATTGATTGATTGTGCAAATCAAAAATTTATAAATTAGATTACTATAAATTAATTATTGCAGCTTATGTCGATTGAAAATAACATGAAATTTCCTTTTTTTTCTAGTACATATAAATCATTTTTTTGGCATAACACGTATGCTGCTGTTCTTTAACATCTGTTTCATATATACTTGAATAATTGATATAAAAATAATTTTAAATTAAGAATATGTAAAATTCTTGTGATCATGTTCTCAATGTATATCATCATGTATCATTATTGAACCAAGTTTATTTAAACATGATAATAAATTGATAGATGTATTTAAAATTTATTTTAACACAAGGTAAAAAATAATTTCTTACCTTGTGTTAAAATGAACGTTTAAATTAGAAAAGTTAAAATGTATAAAATTTGAAATGTTTAATTTTTTTCTCTATATTTAATATTTTATCTTCGACACATTTGAATATAAAAATTATGTTTGTAGATATTTGAAATATAAATATATTATATGAATATCAATCATAAATTTTTTTAACTTGAAAATTAGCTAATATTTAAAGCATTTTATGAAAGTTTTATTCAGAAGCATCATCTCTAGATTATGTATCTTCATCAATAGTTTAGGTATTAGAATCTAGCATTATGAAAAACATTTTAACACTTCCTTGTTAGATAAAAAAAAATATTAAGAGTGAGGAGTAAGATATTGACTCAGGTCTTTTGATAAATAAAATTAGGCTAATTTGAGTTAGTGAAGCTGGTCAAAGTGTCATTATGTGGACTTAGTTTTGCACTTATGAACAAAAATTTCCTTTGTGATTTGTCTGTACAAGTGATTCTGAAATTAAATCTCAACTGTAGTTTTTAATATATAGTTACGTCTTTTAACATATATTTGAACCTTTTGGTAATATTTTTTTAAATTCAAATAATATATATTAAATTTCTGAATATAAATCTTCACAATCTTTGAAACATTATAGTTACATTTAATCTTCATTAAGCAATGAACTTAAACTTTCACAATAAAAAAAAGCTTTATTTTGGTACTATTTTTCAAAATTTTATTCCTTTGAAATAAAAGAAAAGTGGTAACAAATATTTTTTCAGTATATAAATAAATTTGAAGCTTCTAAATAATTTAATTGGGGTAGCAAAATTTTATTTACAAAATTTTTTGAAACTTTGGTTTTGAAGCATTCAAATATTTTTTTAAAATAATTTTAATCATTTCAACATTTTTGAAATCATCTATGACTATTTTTTTGAACTTTTAATTTTTCAATCATAGAATAAATTTCAGAAATATTTTTTAGAAAAATGGAAAAAACATTTATTGAAATATTTGATACATATTTTTAATTAAATTTACTGCGAATTTTTTAATGAATAGACATAATTTTAATATATATTCAAATAATTTACTTATATTAATTAGAAATGTGAAAATAAATTTCAAATTTCACAAAAATTTAAGATTTTTCAATCTTATGAAACATTTGGCAAATTCAAATTATGAGTTTTTCCAGATTCAATGATGGTATTAATTTTTTAAAATATATTTTTCAATCTTAAAAATATATTGAATTATTTTTTAATTTTTGTAATAAATTGAAATAAAAATTTGAACCTTGTTTCTTAAATTTAAAATCAAATATGAAATACTTCTATATTCATTATTTTGAATACAAAATTGATAAATTTTTTATCATTAGAAAACTTAAAATATATTTATCATATATATTTGGAAAAATAAATTTTTGAGATGGTAATTTTGCAATCATATAAATTATTTGAAACACGTTTTTTAAAAAAATAAAAAAATATTTTTTAATTATTATGAAATTATTTTTAAAATTTTATGAATTATTTAATAATAAATGTGAAACAGATTATTTTAAATATATAGTCTAATTCCACTTTTTATTTTATATTTAAAAAAAAACTAATAGAAAAAATTCATATATTATAGACGTTATTATTTGATTTTTGACATATATAACTAACATGTTTTCAAAAAATTTGAAGTTATAAAAAATTGTTATAAGTTAAGTTATGAAAAATTGATAAATGAAAAAATTTCACATCTTAAAAAGTATTCTAAATTTAAAATATGTTACGTTATATCATAAATTAATTTTAATTTTTATTCATAAATTAATCATGATTTGAATCCAAGAGTGAAAAAATAGTAAGTTAAACAATTTTCTATCAAAGTTGAACAAATTGTAAAATATGTTATAATTTGTGGAGTAGTGACCATCGAAGAATATTGTTGTAAGAGTAATAAAAGATGTTTCACTAAGAGTAAATGCCAACGATTATGTAAGATAACGTTTTTGTTATTAGAAAGATATCAAGATACTTTTCCTCGTGTATGCTTGTTTCATCAAAATGACTTCATATAAACTCATAGAATGAGAGTTTCAAGGTATCATGTGAATGCTAAAATTGCATACATGTAAATTGGGTAGATTGTGGTTTTGTGCGTTCAACGACGAGCTCGGAATCAAGTTTAGTCATCACAGTCTGTTTGCGACGCTCGGCTTCGTGGTCACCGTCATGACTTCGGCCGATTGCGGATGAAAGAATTTGCTCGAGGTCCACGCTTGCACTGGTGCAGCCGTTCCGCTTCCAATCGAATCAAGGCTGGAATCGATTCGCTTGGTTCCTTACTCGTACAATTGTATGCGTATCAAATTCGAGCAAGCACGCACGTCTTGACAACTACGATTGCTACTTTTGAATTTTTGAATTTGCCACCGGAGTTCACCGGTGGCACAACACCTTCACATTCAAAAATTGTGCAGCTCGGAACTCTGAAAGGGCGCGGACGCTGCTAGATCGCATCCATTCTCCACTTTGACCACTTCCTCGATTAGAGTAGTGCTCAATTTCTCGTCAAGGGATTCAGGACTTTTGACTTTTTCCGAGCTAAATTGGGTAGATATAAACTTTAGCCCTACTAGACAAAATGCTCTTGCAAGTAGTAGAATTGTTCTTTTTTAGTAAAATCACATAACTTGTCTATACGTGTTGTGTCAGATATAAACACTAGTTTTAATCTCGTAAGATCGGAGATCACACGCACGCATCTGCATATTGCCTGTGAATCAAACAACATGCTAAACTCTGCTTGAAGATTA